ATTATATACAGTATGTTTTATATTCAATTAACGTATGATCCTATTAGTCGACTAAGCGAAAAAATAATCGGTGATTAATTGATTATAAAAATAATTGTTTGTGGCAGCACTATTCACGGTACGAAGGAGTGACAGGTTGAAGTAGAAATATCATGTCTGCGGTCATGAAGCAATGCTCTCACTGAGGTTTTAAACGATGCAAATGGAACAAAAAGTAAGGCGTAGCCCTTTTTGCAGATTGTTTCAAATATTAGCAGCAGAAAATTAAAAAGGATTAAAGGCCAAATGAGGTGTTTAGGGTAGAGCTAGGTTAATGTAGCTGCTGGAGCAGAGAGTACAACTGTTGCTACAGATAGTGAGTAGTGAACGGAGACAGGATGGTGTTTTATTAGGGTTTTAAACAGAAACCAGTCTGTTTGTCTGTGGGAATGAAGAGTGGGCCAGTTCACCAGGGAATACAGATATATTTGCTTTGTACAAAGCTAAAATGATGCCAGATATCCTGTAAAACTTTCATTTAGTGGGTTTCAGTTGCCATGTTTGAGTTTTCTTGGTGCCAGATAACAGGGATGGATTAATTTGCTTTTAGCCTTTTATAACCCTTTTATAACTGGACCAGAGAGCAGGGATGGGTGCTGAGGGGCGGCAAATCAAGCGGCTGCATGGTAAAGGGTGTCCAGTTTGTGTAGGAGAGTTTAGGAAGCAGTTCTGTACATGACATCACCAGGAAAACACTGGAAGGATGGTCGTTTTTAACCAGAAGATGCTTCGTAGATCGAATCTGTTTCAGAACAGAAAACTTATTCTGTGTTTGACTTCGGAGAGCAGAGTGTTGATGTGAGTTTCATATGATGGCAGACGATCTGAGGGAGGTTCCTGTGAAAGATCATGCATTTTGGTTTCAGAGAATTCAGACATGCTCGATAGTGAGACCCTTCGATAGTGTCACCAGGGTACAGGTGGGTGTGAACAATTTGTTCACAGTATTTATTACGTTGTTGATGTAGATGCTGAAAAAAACTGGACCAAGTAAGGAACCTTGGGGAACACCTTTGCAGACGGGTGGTGGGTCTGACAGGTAACCCTAGAGGTTTAGGGTCAGGGAGCCAGTGTTAGAGATGCCTGTCCAGAAGAGTGAAGTCCAAAGAATATTTGAAACACTACGAAGCACCGTCATGTGCCCAGGTGTCACGATAAGGAACCAGAACCTGAGGGATTCTTTGAGTCAACAAATTTCCTGCAAAAATTATTTTGAGACGCTATTCAAGCTTCATCACATTTGAGCTTAATTAGCTAATATTGACTCAATCTTTAAAGAAAACAGATGTAGTCCGACTGGTTTCTGAGTAAATGTGAAGTAGTAAAAACAAAAGGAGTTGACTGTATTTACAGTTCATCAAAAAACGGGTTAAACTGAAACACAAAATGTTATGATTTTAAACAAGTTTACAAAAACAAAGGGATACTGTCTAGTCAAAGTGACTTTTTAAAATAAACTCAATAAGATTCTGTTTAACTTGGAGGAAATGAGCAGATATGACAAAGATAAAAACAAATAATAAAGCTTAATCCAGACAGAGACAGAAATGATTAAACAAACACGTAGAAACGGAGATTTGGAAGGATTACATCAACATTTATCGGTGTTCCAGACAATAAACCCTGGTTTTGAAGCTAGCTAACACCGTCCGGACCGTACCGTGTAGTTCTCCACCAGTTCCGAACCGACCACACACACTTTCCTCTCCAGAACCTTCTCTGGAAACGGGACGGGCTCCATCTTCAGAGAAGAACTATTAAATTTGCTTACAACGTTCAAATAAAACCTAATCTGCAGTAAAACCAGTGTCACAGGATGTCCGCTGCTCTGCCCAGCGTCCCGCCGCCATGTTTGTTATGATGCAGCGGCTGACCGGTTCAAACAAACTTTATTTAAAATCTCTCTGTGACAAACCGGAAGTCTTCCAGCGAAATGTTTTTCTTTTTCTTACCACAGACGAATAAGTTTATCTCATGGTTTTCTGACAATATTAATACATTTAAATTAAATTGGGACACACAAATTATCGGATAATCAACTTTTAAACAAAAACTATAATAAAGCCTTGATCCAGTAACTCAGAACCTCTTTAGCAGAAATGTCTCTCAGCAGTTACGGACTTTGATGCATTTTTAAAAAAAGTTTCACTAATTTTAGAACTGTTTTTTCTTACTCGTAAGGCTCTATAAGATAAGATAAAACTTTATTGATCCCACAGTGGGGAAATGTGCACAGTACAGCAGCTCAAAACAGGACAGGGTGAGATAGAATAAAGAAAGATAAGTAAAAGAAAAACAAAAACCACTATACTCGTGATATATAACAATGTACAAATACCTAGTACAGTAAATAAATGGATGTATGTGAAGGTGTGTGTTATACAGTCTAACTGATGACATCATGATGTGTTATACAGTCTAACTGATGACATCATGATGTGTTATACAGTCTAACTGATGACATCATGATGTGTTATACAGTCTAACTGCAGTTGGAATAAATGACCTACAGAACGTCTCCGTCCTGCAGTGAGGATGTTTAAGTCTCTGACTCACTTTGGTTTTAGTTTAAAAGCAGCTGAAACAATGAATGTGGAAAAATATGGTGAGAACACAAGAACAGGTTGAAGTTCCTCCCACTTCCTGACTCTAAAACCAGGAAATAGATGGTGACTTTTAGACGCTACAGAACGACACAAAGCGGATCATGTGGAGCTTCAGATCAGACTGACTGAGTCCAGCTGCTGCTTGAAGCTGCTCACACTCCACACACTGAAGGTGAGTCGCAGCAAAAACACTCAGAGACACTTTGAGGGACGTTAGAGGAGGGAGGGGAGCCAGGACTGACTGGACTTTCTGTCTGCTGTGTTTTCAGCTTCACTCAGAGTCTAAATGGCTTCCAGACCAGAGGACCTCTGCTGTCYGGTCTGTCAGGAGGTCTTCAGAGRTCCTGTTCTTCTGTCATGTAGCCACAGCTTCTGTAAAGACTGTCTGAAGGACTGGTGGAGACAGAAACCAACAAGGGAGTGTCCTGTTTGTAAGACAAGATCTCCAACAGATGATCCACCCTGTAACCTGGCTCTGAAGAACCTCTGTGAGTCCTTCTTACAGGAGGAACATCAGAGATCTTCAGAGGCTCTCTGCAGTCTGCACTCTGAGAAACTCAGACTCTTCTGTCTGGACCATCAGGAACCAGTTTGTCTCGTCTGCAGAGATTCAAAGAAACACACCGACCACAGATTCAGACCTGTGGATGAAGCTGCTCAACAACACAGAGAGAAACTTCTGGAAGCTCTGGAACCATTAAAGCAGAAACTGGAGCTCCAGAAGAAAGTTCAGTCTAAGTTTAATCAGACAACAGAACACGTGAAGGTCCAGGCCCGACACACAGAGAGGCTGATTAAGGAGCAGTTTAAGA